GAGTGCGCATTCTTGTGAGGGGTGAGGAAACTACAACGGTGTGAGGTGCTCTGAATAAAAGATTACTATGGTGGGGGCTGCGACACATGCAGATACAGCCATTAGGCAAGACGACCATTTCAGAGTCCGCAATCGCCATGGGGAAATTGAGGGAAAAGTGTAGCCGACTACAGGACAGGTAAGTATGGTGGGGTCGGCTGCCCTCGCGATCAGGCGGACTACGATTGTGGCTATGGCACATACGATGAGCAGGAGAGTCTGAATGGGTTACAAACCCTAGAGTCCCAACATCCATCAAAGTACACCTGGAGGACAGCCCGCGGTCAATATGGATGGCATGGCACTTTAAAGAAGCACAAGAAGTTCGGAGCCAAGAATGATCAAGCCCATCCCAATGGCGGCTGTCATGGCCACGGGGCCCACACACATTTTCCGCCAGAGGCAAAGAACTACGGGAATGACGATACTCAGAATCAGCATGTAGGTCTTCTGCACGACGACGCCGTGAACAAGACAAGCGACGAAGGCTACACACCTGTCCAGGGCAACAAAGTGCCTGCAAACAACGATGCAACGGAAAGCAACCACGGTGTCAAAATGCACACCTTCAGGAAAATATCTCTTAATGCTGAGGAAATGGACACCACGGTGAGAACAATGCAGGTGGGCACAATGTTTGTGACGAACAATTGTTCAGTTGTTGCAAGCTGTGTCAATTTTGACGTTAACATGGACAATGATCAATGCGCCACTTACTCTGTGCAATGCAGGGACTCTTCTTGCTGAAAGCACACTCCCTCACTACCAAGTTCCATGCATATGAGCTAACTCTGGACTGTTATCAACTTTGCCATCAGCGTGCATGCAGCGGTTCCAGATATATGCCAATACATAGCACAACCGCATGTTTTTGTTTGGATTTGTATTGCTGCACGAAGGCCAGCTTCCTTAGCGCGAATGTGCCCCGGTGTCTCCAGCAGGTCGCTGCTCCTTTGATGTCATGTTCGAGGTTTCCAAAGGGGCTGATCTCCAGAATATGAGGCGCAAACTGCATTCCTCTGGGATGATGAGGACCCCACGGGGCCCCAATGAACGGGGATGGCAGAGTCGGACGAACGCGCCCACCCTAATTGGGCGCATTGCTTTGCCAGCCGTCTGGCCTCGGGGCAGTTGCGCGTCAGGAAGTGGCGCTGAGGGTTGAGGGACAAAATTGTGAAACGCCTCTTTGTGACGTCCATCACCTTTGGTAAGGGATGCAGGGTCACACAAGATACTCGATCAATGTAGGGCAAGAAGCTTCTCAGGTTCTCGCCCGCATTTTAGGCTTTCAAGGTCAGATGACAGGCGAGCCAAGAAATTGGTGCCTCATTCTACAATATTGCCATAATGACACAATGTGGCACGATAATCTCTTCAATCCTCCCTCAAGCAGGATTTGGCCAAGTGATACAAATTCCAGTGTGCCCAACAATGCCCCACGCGGCTTCGGCCCGTCGTTGCCCACCCCCATCGTCCGTTCAGGAGCCGACGGAGGCAATTGGGGTGCACCAATCTGCAATGGCCGTCGTTAATCCAATGTACTGCTGATCAACAGGCTTAGCCGATCAGCATTGATGACAGAAGTGTCACGAATAGATGACAATTGCGCCACTGTCAAACATCTGCCACAGGTCGCCATTGCCTGTCCGCTGGACGGCCGATGGACTGCATGTCCTATTCGCCGGCCTGTCCAATGGTCATGACCTAACAACAGCAGCCCACCAAGGCATCCATGTCTGTCATAGGGGCATCCTTACATATCAAAAACAGGTTTTTGGATTTCGACAGCACACAATGAAAGACTTCGAAGCCTCTTTCTGACTTACTTTCTTTCGGTGCAATTGCGTAAACTGTGTTCTTGAAAACTCGCCCTGCAACCTCGTACATGAATTGCCTAGGGAGCGCCCGTGTGAACACAGCCAAGCCCCACATCCTTCTGGTGCTCGTCAGCGGCCAGCATAAGAATTACCAAAGCCATCCGCCATGGCATTCAGAGCAAACCGCTTGCTAGACTTTTTGCTCAGCACCCAGTTCACGCCACAAGCCTTCGAAAGTAAATATACTCAATGTGGACTAGAGAGCCACAAAGAAACGACATGAGCTGTGTGAGCCACAAACCAAAGCATGAACAACCGGTTTTGAGCCTTCTGAGCCATGTTCACGTATCGGCTGTCATTACAGCGTCCACTGATACGGCCGTGCCTAAGCGGTAAGCTGTCAAGGGGTCTCGCCACTTGTGGCTGGGATGAATTGATGAGATCAGCAGTGGTACAGCGTGCCCATAGAGTCTGACACAGCCAAATAGGTACCTCAACGGCCTTCCACGGAGGTTTCCAATAGATGAAGTCGCAATCTAAAGCAATCGTGGTCACCAGGTTCCATAGTTACGTCATTTCTCAGAATCTGCCTCCACAACAATGGAGAGCCAAAGATCTTGCCAGTCGTCACCTCAGCCTTCCTTTCATGCTGGCCTCCACATCGTTTCTGCTGAAATCATAAATTTCTTGAAAACCAACAATTGCCACTTGATGCCTCGCTCATGGTCGGGCATGCAGTCAGAACACATCTGCCAACACTCCAAACCATTTTTGCTCTTGGAGTCCTTCACCACACGGCAGAGCTTCATGGGGCCCCTTCAGCAAATAGTTCAACAGCATGATCCACAGGGGGCTGAGCTAGCAGCAACCGAGCATCAAATGTTTCCTTTACATGCCCTGGCTCGTTGACCACTGCAGACCCTTACAGGGGTGGTTTGCACCAAAGAGCTGTGGGGACATGTTCCCGCGGCATATCTTCCATTAAACAATGCTACCTGAAAACAATTGGTCGTGTGAAAGGGGCAATCACAACAGATGGCCCCACACAACCATTACAACTATGGAGACCATCTATCGCAAATGCTGCAAAGTGTCTGGCTACACTAGGAACAAAGGCAGCTGCATGCCTATGCCATTTCCTACGCCATTTCCTGCCCGGCGAACCAAGCGAGATGCAGAGTCTCCAGTTAGCATCGCACAACAGCCTGAAAAGAACAGATGCCCTGTTTTCATATGCAAATGCAGGACAAGGATACTGCATATCGTCCTCCTTTAATCTACAGTCTCAAACAAACAATGCTGATGCAGCTGACAGAAGTGTGCAGGCAACTGCCAGCAGGTGCAAGGGCAATGTCTGTTATGTTTTAGCAAAAGCAACAAAATCCACTGCCTCATTTGCTCTGCACCGCATCCTCCATCTTGATCTTGTTGTACCACAGGAAGCCCACGATGCTCAATGCATAGCCAAGAGCTTCAATGAGCGTCACAGTCTCTCCCAAAAAGAGGGCACAGAACAGCACAAGTGCCGCGCTCTTCACAGTCGCCAAGAGTTTTAGCGTGAGGGAAGATGACAACACGATCACCCAGTAGCCCAGAGAATTCACCCCAAAGCCAAGAGCAGCAGCTGTCAAGTAGGTCAGTGGCGACCTCATGACTAAGGCAAAAGCATTGGCCTCCACCATGGTCCCATACTCAAAAAATGCAACCCCAAGAAAAAGCCAAAATATACAAGCAGGTGCCAGGTACATCAAACCTTCTATTGGGTGAAACTTGTGGCCCACCAGCACATGCTGAGTCAGCACCAGGCGAATGGCTTCAGAGCCACTTGATAGGAATGCTGCTGCCATCCCAACAGCAGTCATTTGCACTTCGCCATAGGACGCCATTGCTGGGGAAGGTTCACAACACACATGTCAGGGCAAGTCATCGAACAAGTAAGGTTAGCAAGAAAGGTGGCAGGTAGCCAGGATTGACACAGTTTCAATTTGGTACAGGAGCAATGGGACTGAGCATATTGGACACCCAGACTTCCGATTACATAATGAATTAGCACTAATAAAGTATTAGTATCCACAGGCAGGGAACCCCCAATGGAGCAAAGTGGTGATTACCAAAAATTGGGTCTTGGGTACTGACATGGTTTTGTTCCTTTGATCCAAGGAGTGGGCGAAGCAATTTTGAAAGTGAATGCTAGGAAAGAAGTAGAACTCTAGAAGCAACCAAAAACGCATTCTACAAACATCAGCAAGAAATGGGCACAAGACACAGGCTTCACAACACTGGACAATCCGTACTGTTAGTTGGCAACACTGGCATTATCATAAAATGCCTCTTGAGCACTGGCCACCTGCCTGCTGCTGCCCAACAGCCAAACAGACTCTCAACCGATTAAAGCAGGAGATAAACTGTGAAGCATATGCTCATAAGCACAACACAGCCAGCCATCAAGCGCTCAACATGGCAGCCCCACAGCGTCAGTACTTGGAAGTGGATACTCACACAGTGTTATGGACATTAACATGGTCTTTAACCCCGCAAAGGGGATTGGATACTAACCAGTGGTGGATACTAATATTGCGTAATTCCAGTGTATCTATAACCTGTATACAGATAGAAACTCCACCCCATGGTTGGATGTGTGATATCAACTCCCTGCCACACTCGACTTGATGAAAGCCAGCAAATCTGTTGTATTGTAACTTCAGTGCACTGGAGAAACAAAGTACAACAAGGTGCTCATCATATGCATGAGATTTCCGACAACCTGAGAATCCTTTCTTTGTGGACATTCCGTGTGAGTACGTTCAGCCCACCCTGTACATACAGTCAGCATGTTCTTCTTGTGTTGACAAACTATGATGTCCCCACCTGTCCCAAAGGCTACTATCAATACAGAGAGGATCATCCTTGTGGTTGGCGTCTCTAGTCTCGCTGCAAATAGCAGGAACATCGTCATCACAGGTGTGACCGACTTCAGCATCTGTATGAAGGCAACGGTCAAGTGCAAGTACACGAGGTTGCCGAAATGCAAGGTGGCAGCCATGAAAAACCCAACGGGCATGATGTGTGTCAAGAAGTATTTTGTGGTCACTGCATTTGTGGCAGCCTTTAGCGTTACCACCTTGAACACCCTGCAAGCAACAAACACATCAATCCAATCTTGCTTAGTCCATGTGAGCTAGCCTGTCTTGGCAAGGCAGCACTCGAGACTGCTGATTCACCACACTCGAAGAATTAAGGGAACAGGGTAAGTCAAAGAAAGCCAAGGGCACCTGGTTATAAGCTTATACCCTTCACAAGCACATTGGCACTCTGCACTGTCTGTAAACCACCAGAGATCGCCATAATGGCACTGCAGCTGGGACAGAATGTCCATACCAAAGCCAAAGAAGCACTGGGTAGTCCAGGGTCAAAGAAAAGGGGTCTCTTGTACCGTCGTTGTGGATGCAATTCTGCCTGTCATTGCCTTGCAGGTGAGGATCAGTGCTTTGAACATTTAGGCTGATGCATTCTACTGGATTGTATCTCCAATTTACCTGCATGCCAAGAAACTTGCAATGGCACTGAACACCATGCCCATCCCTGACAGCGCCATGGGATACTTGAAGCCATCTTTCACCATGAGGTGCTTGTTCAGAAGGATCAGACCACTCGACACCACCATCCATCCCAAGCTGGCGATAACGCAAGCGATGCGCTGGAGGACAATAGACCTGGGTGCTGAGGCGGACTGACTTTCTAGCAAGTGTTTGCCTGCTTCTTGATCATCCTGCACGTCAATCCAGACCACAGCATAAACAGAAGGCCAACAAACAAGAGCGTGATATGATGCGAACCGTGTTAATGGCAGCTTGTGCAGGGGCTAAACCTTCCAGGCTAATTTAGCAACAGGGCTCCAAGGGAGCACAAAATAGACTTCAGAGAAGCAGGCCAAAGGGAATTTCATGCCAAAGACAAGCACGAAGAGCAGCGAATGCAGCCAAACTGCCAATTTATGAATATGAGCGCGACCATCTACTTGGAGGACTTCCCGCAGGTGTCCTCTTCTGCTGTCTTTGAATTTGGATGATCCCCAGTATAGCGTGTTCACAAGATTGGACCGAGCACTCTCTTGTCGAATGGTTCCAGAGATCCGAAAGGGACCTATTGCATGACGATCCACAAATATCCTGGAACGTTGTCCAGGATCATTCCGCGACCTCCAACAGAACCGCACGGCCGCCCGGCGAATCTTACTCCACATCCATATCCACGTCGGTCTGCAGTTGTGAAGAGACGCCTGCTGTTTTCACAGTGTGCCCGACGCCAGTGGTATTGACCACAAATTCCAGTCGCCTTCCTGTCCCAACGCGCCATACCGCAAAGACCAGCCAACCAGCACCAGCACCAGTCTGGTCCGGTCAGGGACGCTGAGAAACAGGCGGAAGCCCCCCACACACACCTCACTGTCGCCCTCCTGCTTTCTTTTCAACGACCCTGCAAGTGAGTGTGCCGAAATGAAGGAGGCGACCTGCCTCAAGAGGCCGTCATCCATCGCCACAGGCGGCGCAAAACCAAGTCCTGAAGGCGCGGGCACAGGCGGCTCCTGCGCGCCAAGCCAGGCGGCTTCGTATCACAGCGCTTCGTTCTGCTCAGTGCACCAGCTGTCACTGCAAGCACAGTGATGCCCGTGGACTCAACTTCCGCTCATGCGGGCTCCGGGGCCCCTCCCAATCCTGATAAAGCCACATCCAACCTTCACAGATGATTGGCGGTGACTAACATCAGGTCGAGTTCACGCAGACGGGTATTTCTGCCTTACCGGTCTCCTTCCCCCCACCCCACGCCCCCTGTTCCCACACGACAAGATATTACGCTCACAAACTAACTGGTGTCCATCACCTCACCAATACAAGACCCGATTGGCGACCCACTTGAAATGTGCCCTCGCTTTGCATAGTATTTAATGCCACACTGTGACTCAACCCTTGGTCAGCTCCCTTTTCCTTGTACTCAGCTCCCTCTCCATCCCACAACTAACCAAAACTCACTCCATTAGGGTGGGCCGGGTGGGTGCGAAACAAGATAAAGGGGGCGCCAAGGGTCACGCCCAAATAGCCGTTCCCACTTGCCGCCAAACTTCCCGCAAAACCGTGGGGCCAACTTGACCGGTCCCCTTGTCTATGCCCAAGTTACAAGGATCACCCGGTTGCCCCTTGGATCCGGCGGTTAGAACTGACCCCGGGTACAGGGGTGACAAGACTCGGCGTTTGATGGCCCTGAAATGGCCCAGAGAGGCAGCCCGGCCCAGCGTGGCCCAGGCGCGCCCACCCAACGTCGACCTTGGTAGAAACTCAATAACAAGATTGTTAATTGTATGAACATTAGTTTTTAGCGCTCTCTCGGCACCATTGGGACAAGGTGTCTTGGTGAGGACGGAACAATACCGTCTAGAAATTGTTGAAAGCGTTTCTCGTGCCGGTGGCATATGCAAACAGCCTTTCATGCAAAATGCCTATAAGGGCAAAAACGGCGAATTGTGCTCAAGACCACGTTTTGATTACAAATGCAAAAAAACAATTGTGCGTGGGAAGTTGTCCCCGGGGCAGAGAAATCGTTCTAAACATGGCCATGTGTGCAAGGATAAATGAGCGCGCAGCGCGAGCATTTATTCTAGTCATCTGCTCTGAAAATCATTGTCCATTGCCACTGTTCCACCAAGTTTCCACCAAAAAAAACTCATGCGCTGTGGGTGATTTCCCACCAGCTGCTCATCCAGCGAATGGGCGGGCCACTCACGCATTCATCGGACAAAGGGATACCCTTTAGAGGTGGCCACTCAAGGGTGCCATCCGGTCCGTTAAATCCGGTTCGTTAATTTTTATCAGCTGTCCGTTAAATTTCGTTAAAGAAAAAAGGAGAAAAATTCAGAAAAAACGAAAAAAATCCAAAAAAATCGAAAAAAAACCCAAAAAATCACAACAACTGCGGCTAGTTGAAAATCTAGTATGCATAGGTTGAAACAAAATACAAACATACTCTCTAATAGCGAATTCCATAAACTATAAGTATGAAAAAAACCCAAAAATCCCCAAAAAATCCAAAAATCCGCTAATTTTTGGTTAATTTTTATCTTTTTTCGTTATTTTCCGTTAATTAACGGAAATTAACGGAAATTAACCTCTGTCCGCTATTAACGGATCCGGGTGGCCACCTCTAATACCCTTTGTGTGCAACTCGGTCGTGCCTTTCCGCCAGACTGCCCAAAACACCCTTTTGTGCGCAAATAGTGTGGAATCATTCAAATCGGAAGTGTCTCTTGCGCGCAAAGTCACAATTCTGTTACTTTCCGCGACCACCTTATAGGCATTTTGCATGAAAGGGCGTTTGCACAGCAAACACAGAACATAGCAGTACAGTTGGGGGCCCAGTTTAGCGAACCCCCGTGACAAGCCGGCTGAGGGACCCCTAAACCCAAATGGGTCGCTCCTGATACGAAAAGACCCTGGGTGTGGGGTTCCTGCCCTCTTTGAGCCGCGGACCCGCCTCGCCGGGCACCTAGGTCCTTATGGGGACCTAGGCGGGACCACCCCTCCTACTCCCATATCCATATAAGTATAATGGTTACTGTAGGACAAGGAATATAATACGATCTTGGGCAGGGCGTCCCCCACACCAAGGGCCAGTAGTAGGGCGTCCCCCACATCAGGCCGGTGCGTGTAACATTCGTCCCCCTCAGGGAGGTGGGGCGTCCTGTCCCAATATGTGGATATGGGAGCAGAAACTTTATGTGTATGTGAATAGAACTGGCTGTGCGATTTGCCACATGCCCAGTTGTGAAACACTACACAGTTAAGGATGAAGAGAAAGAGTGGTTGTTTTTACATGACCTCCCGGTCTGCACAACCCTCATTAAAACTCTTCCTCAGCCACATGGCTGGAATGTTCGACCTCTCGGCCTATGGTCTGTGACCCCGAGAATGGGAACCACCAAATGCCCATGCCGGTGTGCGTCGGCTCAGTGCGGGACCTCGTCCTCGCCCGCGGCCACGCCCATGCCCAGCTCCACGAGAGGCCGGCACGAGTGGTTCATCAATGTCTAGTCTTTCTCCGTTCAAGATCGCAACGGACATGGCGTTCATGTGTCCGAATTGCGTCTTGGCACGGGGAGCGGTGTACCCAGTGTTCTTCTGGGCCCATCTCAGGAGAACCTGTCAAAGCATAGTCACACATGAGCATTTCTCAGTTTGTACATCCCGTACTTTCATGCAGTTTGCATTCGCATCACAGGTGTTCTGCCATTTTCAAATGCTTGAACCAATTCCTGTGCATTTGCAACTGACTTTGCTGATTCCCAGCTGTTATGCTCATGTCCATATCCCAGCCATTTGACAAGGTACTCAACATAGTTTTTGCGTCTCCCACGCTTTTTAATCCTTTTGTCAAGGATACGTTCAACTTCATACTCCAGTTCACCTTCGATCTCGATAGGTACTGGGGGTGGCTGTACTCTGCCACTTGCCTTGTAAGGCTTGATTTTCGATACATGAAATACTGGATGTATCCTATGCATGCTTTCCGGGAGTTCTAGTCGATATGTGACAGAACCTATCCGGTCGAGGATGGTGAAGGGCCCATTCCACCTCGGTAATAGTTTTCGAGTTCCAGGGTGCTTGAGGGTAATATGTTGTGTCGAAAGGAGGACGCCATCTCCTTTATTAAACGACACATCCCTCCGATGGTGGTCAGCATGCTTCGACTGCCTATCTCGTGCTTTTTCCAAGCACGCCCTGGCCTCTCTCAGCACTGTCTGGACACGGTGATCAAATCGTGTCACTGCTGGTAATCCCTCCACAAGGGGTGTACCAGACTGCCTCAAGTAAGGCTGCTGTGCCCTTTCAATGGCCACTGCCAAGCCGCGGGCATTCGGATTGTCATAGCCTTTTAAAGGCTTCCGAATTTGCACACCAAGAGCTAAGGGACTCCTTGGGTGCCTCCCGTAATTCAGATAGAACGGGGTCTCTTGGGTGGAACTGTTTTTCGAGTTGTTCATTGCAAACTCGGCCATGGCTAACAGTTCATCCCACGCGTCATGGTCAGAACGCGTATAGCTGCGTAAGTAGTCCTCCAGAATCCGATTCATGACTTTGGTCTCGCCATCCGTCTATGGATGGTACGCAGTGCTCATGTTGAGCTGAATCTTCCACCTCTTGGTCAGGTACCGGTAAAACCTGGAAGTGAACCAAACGTCTCTGTCGGACACTATCTGAGAGGGGAGGCCGTGGTGCCTTATCACATTCTGCACCAACAGGTTAGCTACTCCTTCTATGGAGAGCTCGGTGGTCGTGGCTGCTAGGCGGACCATTTTGGTCAGTTTATCGACGAATACGACGATAGCATCATGACCTCCCTTAGTTTTTGGCAGTTGTGTGATGAAGTCCATGGACAGTTCTGTCCATGGCTCCCCAGGAATGCCCAATGGCTTTAATAAGCCAGGGGTCTTCTGGCGAGGATACTTAACCTGTTGACAAACCAGGCAAGTATCAACGTACAACTGTACTTCTCGTCGCATTCCCGGCCACCAGTAATGCTGCTGGACCAAGTCCAGGGTCTTGGCTTGACCAAAGTTTCCCGCACTTGGATGGTCATGAGCCAACTGGCAGATCTCAGTCCGCAGACTGGCAGGTATATATACCTGATTGCCTCGCAGCCATAACCCATCTGTACAGCGCATCTCTTGCTGCTGTCTTACAGACGTAAGCTGGGGATCCTTGCCATAGGCCTGACGGATCCTGGAGGCTAGATCTTTGGCCTCTACCGTCTCTCCTGCCTCTCTTTGGCTTCCCCGCTTTTGCACTACTCTTAAGCCACATACAGCCAGTTGACTTTTCCTCCTGGCCACCTGTTCATCCGGCGATGGAGGAATACGAGAGATTGGATCAGCCACATTCTTTCGTCCTGGGCGATATTCCCAGTCAAAGTCAAACTGTTGTAAGATTTCTGACCACCTGGCCTGTCTCCGGCTCAGCTGTGGTTGTGACTTAAGGTAGGTCAACGGACAGTGGTCCGTTACTAGTTTGAAGCGTGTTCCTTCAAGGTAACACCTCTACAACTGGACAGCATGGACTGAAGCTAAAGCCTCCTGGTCCGTCACGCTGTAGTTTAGCTCCACTGGGAGGAACTTCCTGCTCGCATAACAAACAGGGTGATTGCCCTGCATTAGGACCGCCCCTACAGCAGTTTGCGAGGCATCTGCAATGACCTCGAATGGTCTCTCAGGATCTGGCATCTTGAGCAAGGGAGTTGTAGTCAAACACTTCTTTATATGCTCGAACGTCGATTGACATTTCGACGTCCACTCCCACTTGCCATTCTATTTGGTCAAGTCTGTCAAGGGAGTCGCCATTTTCGAATAGCCTTGGATGAACTTTCGAAAATAATTAGCCAGTCCGAGAAACTGCTGTACGTGCTTCACGCACTGAGGTACAGGCCAGTTCTTCACCTTCTCGATCCCTTCGGGATCTGGGTGTATTCCTTCTTGAGACACTATATGTC